TCCGTCGTGGGTGTTCATGCGTGTTCCTTCTTTCCTGGTGCATCTTTATCAATGAGTTTTCCATGCAGCAGCAGCCTCGGACGAGCAGTGTTGACTGGGGACCCTGGTGGGTTTTGGCTGTGTCCGTGGTGCTGCAGAGGAGCTGACACATCCCTGTGCAGGCTCCCTGGGGAAGGCCAGCTGTGCCCTGTGCTGGCTGTCCTCTGGAGCTGTGGTTTCTCTTCTCTCCACAGGCTGTCCCAGCTGTCACCCCCGTGGATGAGGAGAGCTCCGATGGGGAGCCAGATCAGGAAGCTGTGCAGAGGTAACTCTCACTCTGTTAACGTTTGCCCTTAGTACCTCCACCAGGCTCACCCTGGGGTGTTCCCCAGCTGAACTCAAACACAGGAGCCTCATCCCAGGCACCAGTGGTGGTTACAGCGAAGGCTCAACACTTCTCCTGTTCCTGTGGGTGTTGATTACTGTAGGCAATGACTCCTCTGGCACCACTGGGTGCTTACAAAGCTGGATTCCCCTGGAATGGTTAGCTGAATGAGCAGTAACTTCTCCAGAAACTCTCGGAACTGCTGAATTCCTTTGCTTAGTGTGCAGCAGCATGCAATCCACACTAACCTGCCAGATGAGTGCTGAGGGATTCCCTGTCCCTGCTGAGTGCTGGAGGTGGGAGGATCTCCTCTGTGGCCTTGGGTGCCAGTGCAGCTTTTGTATCAAGACATGCAGCAAACATCCAACTCTGATGCCTCAAACAAAGTGAGCTTGCTGGAAATACGGGTACCTCCAGCTGCTAATTTTAGCACCAGGCCTTAAAATAGTCTGCTCCAATAAGGAAAGGATTATTAGCTCTCAGGCTGGGGACTTCTGTTCTCTGTGTCTGCTCCAAACACAAAGTAGGAAATGGATAGAATGTGCTTGTACTCTCTCAGTCCACGAACACACTAACCATGGCCTTGCTAACATTTCTTTGTAGCTCCTGCATAGTTTCTTCTCTGCTAACCAGCTGGTGCACTATGTGTGGTGGGTGCTCCTGCTTCTTACCTCACACTGGGACAGCTTTCTGGATCCCCCTCTTTGCACAGGCCACCACTGGAGTAAGGAGCAGTTCCTCAGGGGTCAGGAGGGTTCAGACTGAGGGTTGTTGCAGGCAGAGTGATACTGGGGTGGGTGGACGTGGTATTCCAGAGCCTTGGCCAGCTCTGCTCCTCTCAGTGCTCCAGAGGAAGGGAGGTCTGAACAGTGGGTGTGAGCAGTGACAGGCTGTGTACTGAGACTCTTCTGCCTACCTGAGCTTAGAAAGTCTACTTTTAGCCTCAGTAGCCATTAGAAGTTGTCATTTAAGGCCTGTGATGTCCTCTGACAGCTCCTCAGACAGCAGGCAGTCTTTCTGACTCCGCAAACCACATAAATCTGATTCTTGGCAAGGGGTTGCCTGGACATCTTACCTGGGCAGATTTTCATGTTCTAAACCCAAAGGTTTCAGTTGAGCCTTTAAAGCATCAGCTCAGCTGGAAACACTTTGAAACCCCTGTGCAGTATTTTCTAGGTTTCAAGGCACTGAAATGTTCAGATCCCACTGAAAGCCAAATCCCCTTGGACTCAGAGGTCACTTTGCTACTCTTGACAGTGCTGCCCTCAGTCCTTTCATAGCACATGCTCTTCTTCCACCAGATGGCCTAGAAAAATCACCATCCAGGTTGTGTGCTAACTTGTTCTCCACCCCCTTGTGTTGCAACATGTCAGTAGTCATCAGAGGAGAAGGGTAAATAGCATTAACATCAAGGACAGATGCAAATATTTAGCTTCTCAGAACACTGGCCCAAATACTCTGTATGCAGCCACCAGTGAGCAGCTTTTGCCCTCCTTAATTTGACCTTGAAAGCAGAGTGGAGTCTTCTCTCTGTTCCAGGGAACAGTCACATCTCCTTTGAGCTTTGGGAAACTTTCTTCCACCCGAAACGCCGTTAGAGCTCATGATTGGATTGTTCCCTGGAGGGCTGAAATAAAATGATCTTAGCAAACCACAACAGTAAAGCTCTTTGGGAAACTTTCCCTGTCTGCATCAAATGATTCTTAAACAGCTAATGGCACGGGCTTTGGCGGGGCACACAGCTCTTAACCTGCTTCTTCTGCTGACGTGGCTTCAGTGGCAAAGAGAGGCTGAGTTTGGGCAAGGCCACGACTGTTCTGCTTGCTGCTCTTCTCTGCTCACAGTGGGAGTTGCAGGGGAGAAGGACAAAGGTGAGAATTCCCAGGTGTCACTGGCCAAGTGGTCTTTGGCCTGGTCACCACAGCTGGTTCACAGGAGCAGAGGGAGCTGAGTTCACAGGTGGGCGTTCGTCCCGCTGGCCTCGAGGGCACAGCTCCTCCCCGTGGGGCCATCCTGGGCAGGTGCTTCACCTCGCCCTGCCTGCCCCGTGCCCCCAGCTGCCCCGAGCAGGGCTGTGCCAGCAGCAGCAGCAGCTCAAGGCTCTCAGCACCGCGTGGCCCTTCCTCACATCCTCGCCCGAGCAGAGGCTCCGGGGGGTTTGCAGGAGACCTGCAGCTCTTTTCCAGTGCGCAGGAGGCTTTCGTTGGAGCTGTTGCCTCCCAGCTCTGGTGGCAGAGGCAAGCCCAGCCTTGGTGCTGGTGGCTGCAGCAGGAAGGACCCTCTCTCTGCCCGG